TCTTTTTTTTTCTTTTTTTTTTCTTCTTTTTTTTCCTTTTTTTGTTTTTTGTTTGTTTTTTGTTTTTTGTTTTTCCTTTTTTTTCCAAAGGACGGCCAGAGGGCTACCAGACCGAAATGGCTGGTGCCGACGCAGTCTGCCAAAAAAGAAAAGAATTGTTTTTTTTTTTTTTTTTTAAAGCGCAGCGTGTTTTGGTGGCACTAATTTGTAGTAGTGGTAGTTAGGTAGTGTGAGGTGAAATTGAGAGAAGAACATAGCTTTTTAATAATTAAAAAGAAAAAACGCAGCCCGAAAGAAACATAAAAGGGATGGAGTTCTCGCTTTTTCCCAAAAAAAAAAAAAAAAACATAAAAGGGTTTGCGAGAACACAAAACATAGCCCAGTAATAATGCTACGTGTCCTCTGCAGAGTGCAGGGTGCACACTGCATGGTCTGTACCCGTGGTCAGACCTCACACAAAAAAAAAAAAAAAAACAATTTCCCCCCTACAGATATCCGAACCCAGCCCAAGCCTTGATGTATCATATATAGCCGGACCCACAATGAATAAACACATTTAATTTACCCAGCCCCAGCCGAACCGGGGGCTAGGTCCCACGTGCACGAATTAAGAGATACTGACCGTGGATAGCAACGATCAACGGCCGAAATCTCCTAATTTGCGCAAGTGGGACCTTGCCCCGGACTGAGTTAAAATTTTCCTACCCGCACCCAACCCACCCACCATCTACAATAAAAGCCCTACCCCTACCCATCCACACCCAGGCCAAAACTTCATCCCCCCACACCCAGGCCCGCACCAAAGCCCAACCAATTTTCATCCCCCCATACCCAGCCGTACCCATTCCAAGAGTTGGAAACCACCTGCCATACCCTTCGTTTTTCCCCTTCATTTCATGCCCCTCAGGCCTTTTTTTTGGTCCTGTAAACCACCTGCCATACCCTTCGTTTTTCCCTTCATTTTTCAGGCCTTTGTTTTTTTTTTTTCGTCTTAGGCCTTCTTTTTGGTACTGCTAGGGATAGTGATACGAGCACCCACACCTAGCAGGCCACCTGTTGGCTCCAGTCTATTGGTGGGGATACATGTCAGAATGTTTTTTTTTTTTTTTTTTTAATGTCAGATTGTTTAGCTTGAAGTTCCAATTCAGAGACAAATTCAAACATGGTCCGAACTGCTAAAATGGCATACTCGCACTAGTACTTTCGTATATGTATCTGGCTGCAACTACGTCCACATTAGGGTGAGTCTTGACCACAAACACGTCCAGAGCTTATTAGGACCGAGTGGACAGGGAATTGACGAAGAAACGAGAATTAAAATCCTGGCATTGAGTCCGGTTCAGTCCTCTTGGCATCAGTTTTTTTTTTTTTTTTTTTTTTTGAAGACTGGAGCGCTTGCGCGCGCAGTCGTTCGACTGGATGCCGATGCCCTTATGCTTGATGGAAGGAGAGGCGGATATTTTTTGGGGGTGTGGAGCGATGCTGGAGCGTTGAGTTTTCTCGAGAGCACGGTCTGTCTGTCCTGGGAGCATCCTGAGCAGCCTCGGCATCCTGGTCAGACCGTCTGTCCAGGATCAACCTCCTGATGAGTCCGTGAAAGTACGACGAAACAGTCCGTCACGGTCATGCCTTTCGTCCTGGAGTTGTGCGTAGGGAATACCAGGACACACGCGCACACGCGCACACACACATGCGCGCACTTGCGCACGCACGGACGCGCGCACGCATCCAAGCCCGCCCCATGCGCGACTTTTGCTTGTTTCAAGCACAATACCTAAGCCGCTTGCATTCCACGTCACGGCTTTTGCTTCCCTTGTGCCAACTCTATACACTGATCATTCAAACCTGTCGAGAAAACTGTTTCGTCGGACAAAACTCCTGATGGCAAGAGAAACATGTCAAAAGTTATATAAAATTATAAATCATAAATGGATTGAAAGTTTTTTAACCAATTGCAAGCACATTTTTCATGTATGTATATATATATATCGTCAAATATATATATATATATATATATATATATATATAGTCAAACAGAGCTGCCCGGTAAACCGTAGAAGAAGAAGAAGCTAAGCAATGGCCATATTGCTCTTCACACGCATTCCAAAAAAACCGTTTCCTTCCAGCGTGTATACTGCTCAAACTATGCGTGGCCTCAAGGTCCCACTTGCACGGATTAGAAGATTTCGGCCGTTGATCTCGGCTATCTACGGTCAGTATCTCTTAATTCGTGTAAGTGGGACCTAGCCCCGGTAAACCGTAGGCAGAGAGGGAGGGAGGGAGAAGAAGACAACAAACGAGGGCCTGTGACAAATTGTTTCGTCGGAGTTTTCTTTATATATACACCTTTCTCGCGACTTTCCTCATACTATGCGTGGCACAATTATTTTGCTTGATGAAATAAATAAGATAAAATACAGAAATGTAAAACCAAACGAGATTTCATATCAGACCAAACAATTCCACACCACCGCTCCTGTGCCCCAATTAACTTCCGTTGTCGTCATCTATTTTGTTCTGGCATACATTGGTCAGCCCCTTACCGCAGCAGCTTCTGCGGCTGCTCGAACTTCCCACGGATATCGCCTCAGCATTGTCCGCCCTCGTCATAAATAAAAAATAAAAAAATATTATTGTTATTTTTTTTTGTGGTCAGATGATCTGACACTTCTTTTTTTTTTTTTTCAATCAGTTCTCGATACAGCAGATGTCCTTTGCAGGACATGCCATTTACAGCGACTGGCTCAGGAAACGAAAAGCTGGACGAGATGAAGCGGGAGCACACTCCTGGCTCTAAAAGACCCTGGGGAGGATCGGAACACGCTCCTGGCTTTAAAAGACCCTGGAGATGAAGCGGGGACTCGAGGCTAGCTAGCTAAGGTAGAGATCCCAGTGGGAAAGAGGATCGGAACAAGCGTCTGAATATGGACGCGTTCCACGCAGAGATGCAGAAAAGCAGATCATCCCCTCTTGTGTTTTGTGTACTCTCCACAAACACGTCCAGGTTCAGATGCTTATTCCAATCCTTTTTGCCTGTGGGACCTCGCCCTAAGCTGGATTCAGCCGGGAACCCATGCTTCTCCAAATGGCCGATCTTCCGCAAGTGATCGGTACCGCGTTGATGGCGAGTTTAGCATTTGTTATGAAGGATTCATTTCCCTAATCCTTGATTGATGTATAGTGGGGTGAATTGGGCCCCTTTTTTTTTTCTTTTCGAGGGATTTTAATGGGACACTAGACCCGGGCCCATGTCCCACTTGCACCGTAGAGGTAGCTAGCTCTACGTAGATGTTTCAGCAAAGTGCGACTCAGTGTGACGGCCCGGGTCTAGTGGGACATGGGCCCGGGTCTAGTGGGACATCGACGGCTGAGAAGCAAGCATATCAGCATACACGCACGCATGGGAACACACTTTGGAAGCAGCTGTATGGAGTATCAAACGAATTTATTCAAACGTCGAAATTACGAAATGGAAATGATACGAAATAATACGAAACGAATGGAAAACCGAAATAATAATTCAGGCAACAACCTCACTTTCCCTGACGTTAAACTGGCCGGGGGCATCGCACGACCAACTATTCTCTCTCTCTCTCTCTCTCTCTCTCTCTCTCTCTCTCTCTCTCTCTCTCTCTCTCTCTCTCTCTCTGTGGGGCAGCGCAGGACGCATTGCAACACCAACTAATCTCTCTCTCTCTCTCTCTCTCTCTCTCTCCCTCTCGCTGGCTCGCTCGCCCGCTCTTTTCCTGCATTCCAGGAACAAGAGGAACAAATCTTCGCTCCACAATCTGGCTCGCGAAATCTGGCTCGCGAAATCTGGCTCGCCAAACCGAAGCGTCTACAAAATCGACGGGTGGAAATGTCCAGTTGCTCAACGAGCTCCAGAGTCTAGCACAGCCTCGTAGATCTCGCCATTTGGTTCATGCGTCCTTCGACATGCCATCGCCATAACCCTGCTGCTCGCATGCTCGCACGCATCTGGATGATCGACGACCAATTTTCAATGCTTGAATATACACCTTTCGTTTCTTGAGAGAGAGGACGGCATATGAATCCCCGAGTTGGCCGCGATGGTTGTCGAATCTCTCGCTCCTCCGCATGCCACGGCGACATATGAATCCCCGAGTTGGCCGCGATGGTTGTCGAATCTCTCGCTCCTCCGCATGCCACGGCGAGGTCTGATCAGAAATCCGCAAGCCTAGAAATAAATAGATACGATGATTCCAGATTACAAAAAATGAATAAAAAATGAATTCCATCGACGAATACTCGTGTACTTCATTGTCAATCCCTTCACCAGAAACGGATCCGGCGAACGACACTCCTCAGAAAAACCTACGGTTAACTACCGTTCAGTACCGTTAAGTACCGTTATAGGCAGGCAAACATCGCCGTGCCTGTCATTATTGCAGCTCGCATCTACTCCATACTCCTCTCTCGTCCTCTCTCCCCTTCCGGAAAGGCAAACTGTCACCGTCTGATCAGCGCAACATCAACGGCACAGAAAAACAGCAGCCACACCAAAGCAAACACTCTCCTCTCCTCTGCGGGAGGAGTCAGTACTCCTGCATTGACTGGCATCGCAGACAGGCCTTCCTTCATGAATAGATCACTCATTTTGTTCGCATATGGTTCTCTATCCCTGCCCTCTCACAAAACCCGTCAGAAAACGGAATTGATACCTCTCTCTCTCTCTCTCTCTCTCTCTCTCTCTCTCTCTCTCTCTCTCTCTCTCTCTCTCTCTCTCTCACACACACACACACACACACACACACAAGACGAGAGGCCTGTATGCCAAAGAATCGATCAATCTCTCATGACCATTCTCCTCGTCTCGGCACCTTCGTCTGCCTCCAACTCGAGCGAAATGCTCTCGCTCCTGACCGTCCTGTTCACAACCTCTATCCCGACGTCTTGCCCATCGAGCTCAATGCGCTAAGCTTCTTCATGCCATCCTTCTCCTCGTCTTCTTCCAGCTGATCCCGCTCCCGCGCAGATCGCGTCTTTTCATCTATTCATTCGTTCTCGCCCTCCCGGACCCCCCTTCTCTCCTCCTCTCCGTCACTTTTTCTGCAGGTTTCCCGCCTCTGTTTTTTCATCTTCTTCCCGCCATGCTCTCCGTCACTTTTTCTTCAGGTTTCCCGCCTCTTTTCTTTTCATCTTCTTCCCGCCATGGGCCGATCGGGCGCGTCGACAGTCAACGGCACTTTCTTCACGAGCGGTCTGTACTTGAGAATATAGAACATCTCAAGATAACGTTTGGCCTCCCTGCGGTCGAGATCGCTGACAAACTTCCAGAACCCGTACTCCCTCGACAAAGTCATCAACCTCCGCGCGTAGATCTCCCACGTGTACTTGCTTCTAATCCGCTCAAGTCCGCCACGTGATACAGCCTCCCACTTGGTGGGGTCGGCCGCAGCGGCCTCGAAGAAGTCGCCGAGGGCTTTCGCCGTCTCGTCGGGCTGATAAGGGTCGATATGGAATCCCGACTTTCCGTCCTCGATGATCTCCGCTGGACCACCGTGACACGTGGCGAACGTAGGAAGGCCACACGTCATCGCCTCCACAACCGTCAGTCCGAACGCCTCGTAGAACGCCGGCTGCACAAACGCTCCGCGCGTGTCCGCCACATACCTGTATAGCTCTCCATTGCGCACCCTGTTCTTCTGCGCAACAATCCATCGCATGTCGCCGTTCAGTTGGTACTTCTCGATCAGTTTGTGCATCAGATTGATCTGCTCCACCTCCTCGCGGTCCTTGGACAGCGTCGGATCGATATACCCCCCAATGACAACGAGATTAACCAGACGACGCAGCCGCTGGTTCTTTCCAAACATCTCGACGAGGCCTGTGAGATTCTTAACCTTGTCTAGGCGGGCCATCGAGAACAGGATCGGCTTGTGTCTATTTTTAATCACAGACTTGCACAGCGCCGGCTCCTCCATGTTCCCGAACAGCAGATCTTCGATGGCAGAGTGGAACGTCGTCAGACGCCTCTCCTTGGCCGTGTAGGGGAAGTACACCTCCGCATCTGCGCACATATCACCATCACCACCACCGGCAAACGCAACCAACGCCTGCGTCAGAACTCACACTGCCGTCTTCCCCCGAACACAATTTACCCCTTATCACGACTGTATCGGACAGGAAAAATGACAAGGAGACAAAACCAACTTGGAAGGAAACATACTACAAACCAATTCTTTTTTTTCTTTTTTTTTTAAAAGCTATGTTCTTCACTCAATTTCGCCTCACACCACCTAGCAATGACATTCGCTCCAAGGAGACAAAACAAATAGAAAAGTGCAAAGGAAGAGCAGACCTTGCTAGGCACGGGAGCACCATCTGCATCTGAGGAAGCAAACCAAAGAGACCGTGCGAACGAAAAACACTCTTTGCAAAAAGGTAGTGAAGATAGTGAAGGTGAATTGGAAGAATTTGAAAGATGATGAAAGATTTGACAGAAGAATACGGTCCCCTGTATAAGTAAGCCTTGGGAGTAGTGGTAGGTAGGTAGGTAGTGAAGGTAGTGAAGGTGAATTGAAAGAATAATTTGAAAAATGATGAAAGATTTGAGAGAAGAATACAGCGTAGTTCAAAAAAAATAAAAAATAAAAAAAATAGAGAGCTCAACAAGGCAACAGCAGGACGACGATTAACTCTTTAAGTTGGAATTTTTTTCTTACCTGCTCCAGGGGCGACGATGTTAAACTTGGGATCGAAGACGTTGATGCCGTTCACCACTCTGTAGAGCCCCGGCATGGTGAAGGCCTGATGGGACTCGTACTGCCCCACCGTGTCGATTCCGCCCGCAATTTCTTGATAGGTGCTGGTTACGATGAAATCTGTGTGGTTCATGGCAATCAAATCAGCAGTGAACTGGCATGAAAAGTGGTACTTCTCCTCCACCTCCTTCCAGTTCACATCGGAGCTCGGGTACTTAGTCTTTTCCAGCGCGTGCGCGATCGTGCACTGCGTCACTTGCATTCTATGAGATAGCAGCGTCGCCACAAGATTGCCGTCGCTGTAATTGCCAATGATAAGATCTGGGTTTCCTCCCATCTCTTCGACCAGCGCTTTCGCCGAGTCCTCTGCAAACGTCTCCAGGTAGGGCCAGATATCGAAGCGGGACACCCATTTCCTCAAGATGCCTTCGCCTTTCGCAAGGTCTCGGAACGGCACTCGCAGGATCTTCGCGTACTCTGTGCCCTCGATCTTCTCCAACCTCTGATCGCAGTTGGTCCCGTGGGCGTCAGGGACCAGACGGGTCAAAACGATCACCTGTGGTTTGAACCGGAGTCCCTGGTTCTGAACATGATTCAGCATCTCGCGTTCCAGAGCACGGACCTGGTCCAGAATGTAAACCACCTGCCCGCCTGTGCATACGACCGACACCACCACCGACAAATCAAAAACCGATCGACGAATTCCAATCCAAGACAAACCCAATCAAGGGGGGGGAAAAAAAGGAAAAGAAGAAAGAAAGAAAAAAGAAGAAAGAAGAAAGAAGAAAGAGAAGAAAGATTGGCACATTGGCTTCTTCAACGGATTACTGCTGCTTTTTTAATTCCAACAGAAGAAAGAGAAGAAAGAAGAAAGAAGAAAGAGAAGAAAGAAGAAGAAGAAAGAAGAAAGAAGAAATGCTTTTTTAATTCCAACAGAAGAAAGAGAAGAAAGAAGAAAGAAGAAAGAGAAGAAAGAAGAAAGAAAGAAGAAAGAAGAAAGAAGAAAGAAGAAAGAAGAAAAACAGAGACCCACCGACCACGACCAGGAGCTGCTGCCGCGCCCGTGGATTGCGTGAGCGTCGCTCGCTACTCATCAATTGTACAAAAGGAGAATTCATTATCCGCTGGAACATGATGGAAAGATACACCACCATTATATTTAGGGGAAACTACGCGGGAGTCACAAAAACGAGTTATAATAATTGCACTATGGGCCAAAATACTGTTTGGAATTGCAGTTCGGGCAATGTATACAACCCAGCTTTCTGCCCAGGTAGGGTGCCCAAAGTGCAATTGCAAACTGTATCTTGCCCCATAGTGCAAATATAACTCGTTTTATCTTTTGTGCATGCGGTGAGTAGCTCGGAAAGAAGTGCCTCAGTTGCAGGCTGCTCACAACATCCAGAGATTTACTTAATCGATCAATAAATGAATAAATAACGATATGGGCCATCATATATGGCCAGATTCACTCACTCATGGTTTCGTCACTCGCGATTTGACCGGTTGCGTTGACTGCCCAATTTCAATTTGCTAGTCTCCATGGCCAACCACCGTATTCTAGCTTCACGCTACTCCCACAGACTGGCAAAGACTCACTCTTCTAGCAGAGGTTCTCTTCACACGAATCGGCTACACAGAGCAAGTCATCAATGCCGATCAACAGCTGCAATTATTGCTAGTCCTACTGCTGAAACTGTCTGGGAGGGAATAAATAAATAGCAAACAAATTAAAAACGAGCACAGTACAGAACACAAGGGGGTGGGGGAACTGATCGTCCATGTCGATTCCATCCGCCTCCAATTTTTCCTCTTCCCTTGAAGATACGCCGAGCGGCGACCTATTTCATTTTTTACGAAGACGGTTCCAACGACCTATTTTATCTTCTCCCGCACCCCCCCCCCCCCTTCCCCCGAACGGGGCGCGAAGTTATAAAACCTGCCCCCAACGAAACCTTTGTATTCCTCCTTTCCCCCCCGAACGGGGCGAAAGGTGCCGCAGATCCCAAAATGACTTTTGGCTTTCATTCTTGAACCCTTCAAAACACTTTCCCGCCATTTTTTAACAGCCGGCGTTAGTGGCGCAGCCAGGGTGCAAAAATGACACTAACAGTCATTTTGGGATCTGCGGCACTTTTTGCCCCGTCTGGGGAAAAAAAGGAGGGATACAAAGGTTTCGACGCGGGGAAGGTTTTATAACCTTTCCCTTCTTCTTTACATCTGCTAGGCGATCCATATTCGGCAGTCAATCACTTGCAGTAGACTGCAGTTGGCTACCCGTCTACCCCCGAATAGAACGCACGGTCATTATGGGCCCATTTGGCTCACATTTATATCCAGATGCAGCGAAAATGACCGCAAATTCTATTCTATTCGGGGGAAGAAGGGTAGTAGCAGTCCCCATTTGGCTCACATTTCTGTCCAGATGCAGCGAAAATGACCGTAAATTCTATTCGGGGGAAGAAGGGTAGCAGCAGTACGTAGTTGTCTCTCGTTACCTGTGTCAGGGAGCCCCAGAACGTTGGCCTGACCAAAGTACCCGTGCGGAGAGATGATGGCGACGTTGAAGATCATGGGCACGCGCGCGAGGAATTTCTCGAGCAACACTGGCGATGGCGCTTGCATGAGGTCCTCCAGCAATTCCATCATGTCCTTGATGCGGCCGGCGCAATTTCCCCATCCGTTTTCGAATCCAAGCGCTCGAAGCTGGTCCTGCACGGCGGAGACGGGCGCATCGTGTCCAACACTCGACAAGTACTCCGTTGCCTTCTTCAGTCCGTCCCGCAGAGCGGGCAAATCCTCAAGTTGGTCGTTCACCATCAACGTCTCCCCTTGGTACTTGTGATTGCGCAGGAAATCCAGCAGCGGTTGCAATGCCTTGGCGTTCTTAAACAGCTTCGTGGAAAGGTGCTTGTTCAAAAACTCGACGCCGTTGCCGATCGAAGACGGTCGGGTCATACGCGGGAAATTCGCGTTGAATGGGCCCATATCGAACTCCAAAAGCGAAAACTCGTCCACCGGCTTGTCAAGCTTCAATTGCTCTTTGAAGTCCAAATACTCCGACACGGTCAACTCGTCCACCGACAGCTCAAACACGTTGATTCGCACGTAGAGCCATTCTGCCACACGCGGCCGCGCCGCCATCGCGATCCAAGGCGGTATGACCACCTGAATTCCCCCCCATCACCACCACCAACAACAACATCACAAAACAGACACGTGAGCAAATAGAGTAATTACAATAAGATTATATTATGAGACGAATAGAACTTCATAAGAGACCGTTTGAGCAGAAAGAAGATTCCACGGCAACAACAAAAAAAAACAAGAAAAAAGAACATTCCACGGCGGCATGACCATCTGAATGCCCCCCCACACCACCACCAACAACAACATCACATAACAGACACGTCAGCAAATAGAGTAATTACAGTAAGATTATTATGAGACGAATAGAAACTTCATAAGACACCGTTTGGGCAGAAATAAGATTCCACGGCGGTATGACCACCTCAATTCCCCCCAATCAACACCAACAACAACAACATCACAAAACAGACACGTGAGCAAATAGAGTAATTACAATAAGATTATTATGAGACGGAGAAACTTCATAAGACACCGTTTGGGCAGAAATAAGATTCCACGGCGGTATGACCACCTGGATTGCCCCCCATCAACACCACCACCACCATCATCACAAAACAGACACGTCAGCAAATAGAGCAATTACAATAAGATTATTATGAGACGAATACGTCAGCAAATGGAGTAATTATAATAAGATTATTATGAGAAATAGAAACTTCATAAGACACAGTTTGGGAAGAAAGAAGATCGCAGTGCTCCTAAAAAAGCACATTTGGAAGGGCAAATTGCGGAAAAACACCGGTTTGGACAAGTATCATAGCAACAAGTATACCTGTCCGCCCCTCTAATGGCCACAAAGATACCTGGAAAGTTGCAAAAATACTCTTTTCGCAAAATTTCGAAGCAGATTTATCGGGCGATACCTCTTTTCGTCACAGAGACCCCGTCCGTTTGGCCTGAGGCAAGACTAACCTGCTACTAACCTGCTGTTATCAAACCATAGACAGCTAAAGACGAAATATGCCAAGTAAACCTACATAATAGGGTACATTTTTTTAATCTGACAGTACCATGCTATAATCAAAAGCTACTACTACCCAAGCAACTAAACTTACCATAAATGTAATGACTGGAGCCATTATAAAGATGAATAAATTAGTACTACTTGGTAGAACAGGCTGTTTTATCATTAATTTCAAACCATCTGCTAGGGGGCGGGGGAAATGACACCTCAGCCAAAAGCAAAGACACCAATAAACCGAGAAATGGTCCAAATTGTTGAAAAAAACAAAGAAAACAAGACACATCCAGATCATCCGTCCACGACACCTCAGACAAGAGAACTAACTGGCCGCACCCCACTACAAATGCGCAAAGCGGAGAATGTACCTTCCACAAGAACTTCGAAAGATGCACCCACCATAGCTTGGCTTTTTCAAATTGGGGAAGCGCGGCACAACATCTACAGACGGCTACTAGGACTCGCACAAGCCGAAGGAAATGTACAAAAAGCGGAGATGTAGGACAACACCTTTGACACCAAGCACTCGAGGAGGGCGAGGGCAAGAGCCATACAGCGTCAAGTCGCTTTTTTTGTTTTTTTCCACGGTACAAAAAAAACTCCATGGATCAGGTCAAACTAGACGGACAAGGTTGACTTTCAGAAAAAGGAAGGCCAGGCAGCATTCAGACGGATCAGGTCAGACTTTCAGAAAAAGGAAGACCAGGCAGCATTCAGACGGATCAGGTCTGACGATGATCCAGGCCGCGGTCAAAGGTCAACATCCGGATGCAAAATTGGGCCATTACCCAGGTAGGGTTGAATTGTGAGGTCCCCGGCCTCTCCTATGTTTTCCGAAATCAAAAGTTTCCAAACCAAAAAACAAAAAAACAAAAAAACAAAAAAACAAAAAAACAAAAAAACAAAAAAAGTTCAACATCCTGATTGAGGAGGAGAACTTAAAAAGACAAAAGCTCGGAACTGCGTGGTGGTTGGTAGCATTTCCCGGACCGCATTATCGACCACATTCAGGACATATGCACATGAATACACAGAACACCCAAACCACTCCTACTTGGTGGATCCTTCGGTTACACGACACCACCAAAACGACCCCAGCATTTGGTTCCACAATGTCATTCCATTGTAATCAATCATAACAGAAATCACAAAGCTACCTTGGCCTAGGCCGGAAAAGAGGTTTATAAGGGCAAACAAATTGCAGAAATACCCGTTCCGAGAAGTATCGTAGCAAAAATACCGGTCCGCCCCTGTGTGGCCACAACTAAATTGGGAAAGTTGCAAAAATACCGTTTTCAAAAAGTTTCCCAGCAGATTTACCATTGTTGCAAAAGGGGCACCTCCTTGCGCATACAGGGGCGGACCGGTTCAAGGCTGGCGGGTCCGTTGTTGCAAAAGGAGGTACCGCCGGTCCGCCGGCGTATTTGCCGCGAAAGAAAGAACTGCCCGGTAAATCTGCATAGCAACTTTTGAAAAAAGGTATGTCTGCAACTTTGCTGGGATATTTGTCACAATACAAGGGGCAGACCGGGGGCCAAGTCCCACTAGCAGAGTTGAGCTACCTGAACACCTGAATGTGGACGCTTTTGCGGAGATGTGCAGAATTGGTGTTGAGTTTCCTGAAATGCACGTCTCCACAAACGTCCAAATTCAGGCGTTGAGGTAGCTCAACGCTGCTAGTGGGACTTGGCCCCGGTATTTTTGACGATACTTCTCGGAACCGGTATTTCTGCAATTTGCCCAAAAAAGAAGATTAAAAAAAAGTCATGCAGCCAGATAGAACGCATCGTCATAAATGGGATGCCCCTCTGACTTTTTTCTACTGACCGCTCTACTGATCGCTCCTGACTTTTCCTGCCGATCAGGGACGTCGCGTGTTCGATTCTTGAGATCGGATGATGGACAAAAAAATGCGATAGCCGATCTGGTTCTGACACGTGCCTGGGGAAGAGTTCAAGGGAGGGACAGTTTCCGCATTGGTGCAATTTTCGCTCTAAGCTCGCATGGACCCAGCCGGTTTCAGAGCCAGATTCACGCTTTCTGGAAACTTGCATAGCACCAGTCAGCCCTTAGCGATCAGCACCATACTAGGTTGCATTTGGTCCAGAAGGTCTGCACTCGAAAAAGACGAGATAAAGATGTAGAACCTAAGAGGAATATAATACCCCTGCCTGTCGACATAAGGTCGACGGAAAAAGGGAGGAAGGGGGGGAGCGGGGAAAGAGAAAAAAAAAAACAACAAGAAAAGCAGCTCGATCCATCATAATCGCAGGGGAACCCTCACAATGGATGAGCTCTGATCACCGTCGGAAGTAGGCGCCCAACATGATGTTTGATTCAAAAAAAGAAAGGGAAAAACAAAATCAGAAGACAGGAAACGAGATACCGCCAGTACTTGACGCAAGGACGGGAAGAAATTGATTGGCTTTTGAGTACACAAAAACGGAAGGGAAAAGATTCAAGAAAGTGGAGAGTCTAAGAAGAAAAAAAGGCGGCAGAGAAAAGAGAAGGTGGTGAGCAAGTAAGAGGGCACGAGAGAAAGGGGACTTGATTAGTGAAGAGAGGAGGGAACAAGTGAGGAGAGAAGAAAACGAGTTGTGAACAGATGAGGACATTAACCAGAAATCGAAGAGCGCGTACGAGAGCAAGGGAAAGACAGGACGGCAGAGAAAAGCGTGAAGGCAGATCGGTGGGCAATGGTAAGTGCGAGCGGAGTGATGGGTGCAATGAGCTCAAAAAAGGGGGGGGCGGGGGGGGGAAAAAAAAGATGTCCGAAGGAACAGGATGGAACGGAGTTTAGGGAGATCTTACCCCGCAACGTCTGCAGTGAGAGAGCGGAGAGCAGCGTTTCGATCGAGGAAGGTGAGACAAGATACACGCGAGAGGGAAGAGAAGGAAAGGCGGGAGAAGAGAGAGGTGGTTAGGGATTACGACAGATCGCCAACTGCAACCCCTCCAAAGAAATGTTAAGTGCAAGAGAACCTGAGAAGCAGAGAGATAACTGCCTACCGAATCAGGAAAGAAAAGGGCTGGGAAGAGGGAAGAGAACGAAGGAGAGCGAGGAGCGAAGGCACAGATCAGAGAAGGATAATCCTGTTCACAAGTGCGCAAGGAGAAAGGGGAGAAAGGAGGGTCGTAAGCAACGGTAGGACAGGAGAAAGTGAGGCTGAGAGTTAGTGAAGAAAGGGAGAACTGGAGAAGAAGAGTCGTCAACTCGAGAAGAGAGAAGTATTAAAAAAGACTGCTGAAGCGAGAGATACCAAGCAAACGAAGACATTAAAGACGGGCGGGGCGACGTAACAACTCCACAAACTTCAACAAAGGGAAAATTCAGAACCGAGGAAATGAAAGAGAGCGCAGGAAACAGAAACAGTCAACAGAGCAAACAATTCACTGCTGTCAATGAGAGGGGGAAAAGGGAAAAACAAAAAAAACAGATCATAGTCAAGAAGATCCCCCTCCCCTGAAGTGCACTTAATTTTTAGCGACTGAGCACTGTGCACACGTCTTTTGGCACTTGTTTGTTCGCACTCCTTTCCGCCCCACCCCTCTTTGAAGTCGCACGGCTCTATTCCATACTTCTCTGCCCGCCGTCTTCCACAGGACCACGACATACTGGGCCTCACTAACATGCTTCCCAAGGGGGGGGGAAGGGGAAGGGGGGGAAGGGGAGGCGGGGGGGAACGAAGTACTGATCATGGAGTGTGTTGCACTCCTGAAGACAAAACGGAGTATAAGAAAAAGTGCCGAGAGGCGCGCATACAAGCGAGCTGAACAGGACAAAGAGAGAACTCGTATCACCCGTTCGCTGTTTCTATCTCCTTCTTGTCCACAGTGTCGTACTAATCTCCCGCCATGCCGCAGACGGAGACAGATAGACGAAGCAGAGTGCGAACAGGGAGTTCTACAGACGCAAAAAAAAAAAAAAAAAAAAAAAAAAACGCACGCACGCCTGAAACATGTAAAAGGCCTTGAGGTGCCAAGAAACACTCTTCAAACCCTGAAAGAAAGCCCTCGATCCTAAATAAATTAAAGTCCAAAAAACACTAAAAGAAAGACCTCGATTCTAATAAATCAAAGAAAAATACCAAGATTTTTGCAGACACTGAATATTAGATAAACAATTTCGGACCACCGATCAAAGACCACAGAACGGGGGGGGGGGATGAGAGGGAGGGCGGGAGGGGGGGGAGCAGAGGGGGGGTTGAGAGAAAGCACCGATCAGTGCTGGTTGCGTCATATCCGCTTAATATACGAATCGACGATAACAGAGCAACGAGCAATGCGAACGAGACCAGAATGAACCAAAAACAAAAAAGAAAACAGAATAAACCAACAGAGCACAACCGACATTCGTGTAATTCAGTTAGAATCCACGAAAGTTCGATTGAGCCGCCAAGAAGTAGTGAAATCAACATAAACGAGAACGAGACAGGAGAAACGATCCGTCATACAAGGGTCGGTTCACTTTGCTTCGCTAACTAATGGGAAGAAAAGAGGCCGACCTTACAACCGCCATGAAAACCACATTCCTAAGCAGGCGGCGACAAAGGAACGACACTATTTATAGATCCTGAAAGAACAGCCCTTTGCTAAAGCCCGATGAAAGATCGAATGGGATCTCATCATCATCATCATCGTCATCATCATTATCATCATCATCATCATCATCATCCCCGATGAAAGATCGAATGGGATCTCATCATCATCATCATCGTCATCGTCATCATCGTCATCATCATCATCATCATCATCATCATCATCATCACCATCACCATCGTCATCGATCAGCATCGTCATCATCATCATTATCAGAGGCCGAATCAAAAGAGGGTACACAACAGACACCAAAGACCACAGAATAAACTAAGGTGTTATAAATGCAGCTAAAAGGTCACAAAAAAGGCCAATGTACCTAAGAGGAAAGGCGAGTCTAAGGCGATACTTGCTGTGCGAAGCATTCTGCAGGCAGTAATTGACGCGCTAATTTAGATAGTAGGTCCAATCAGTAATGCAACAGCTAAATGAGGCCATGATGAGGCGACTCAGATCGTCCACGCGTCTCTCTCAGACGCGGGGCAAACGTTCAAGCAAGCGTTTGCGAGAAGTACGGCCCAAAGCATGTATTCACAGCTAGAATTTCCAGGACGCATCCGAACGCATTGACGGCCAGATTCACTCGTCGAAAGGTTATACAAGGTAAGATGCGTTAAAGATTTACTACCAGATTTTAATTGCGACAAGCAAGCGCAATATCAGAATTCCGCGAGCAAATACCCAAAGAGATTGTCAACGTACTAAGCGTTGACACATTAGAAGGTCAAACAAATTAACAAAAAAGAAAAACAAAACTGCGAGATGGACATTGGGCCAGTAACAAAGAAGTGAGATCAAGTCAACAAACTAACAAAAAAAAAAAAAAAACTGCGAGATGGACATTGGGGCAGTACCAAAGAAGTGAAATCAAGGATCCGGAATATGAAACGATGAAATCCCCTCCTCGTCAAATCACATCCCGTCGAAGACAGGCGAGGAGAGTACGATGAAATCTCCTCCTCATGAAATCACATTCCGTCGAAGACGGGCGAGGAGAGTGTAACGTAATCTGACAGGCGAGGGGGTAAGAAAACAAAAAGCAAAAACGAAAAAACAAAAAAGACCTACGCAGATAGACAAGACAACCACTACTTAGAAAGTGCCAAGTACGGCGATGATATAATCTACCGTAACCAAAAAAACAAAAAAAAAAAAGCAGAAACCAAAAAAAAAAAAGACCCAGGCAGACAGACAAGACAATCAGTGCTTAGAAAAAACAAAATGTAGCAAAACAAAATCGATTCTACTATGGCGATGATTTAACGACAGGTAATGTAATATGTAATGTAACGTCACGTAACGCATGTCCAAACAAAATAGTGAAAACAGTGGCCATAGACTGCTTCTCGTACAAGCATCGATAGGCTGCTTCTCGTCCAAACAAAAGAAGAAAGAACAAAGAAGAAAAAACAAAAAACAATGCTCCGAAACTTACCGCTTCTTGCGCGGACTGCAGAAGAGTGGCAAAAGCGCTGTCCTTGATGGTAGTTCCGGAGAAACACTCGATGGCTCCGACGCGCTCCAGCTGCTTCTGCAGTTCATGTGGCTGCAGAGTATGCTTGCCTTTCTCCACTAATCGAGAGAGCATAAATATGATCTGATTACGGTAATCACGGATCGAGTCCTTGACACGCACAGTCATACTCGCAATGCGAGACAGCTCAGGCATCTTCTCTGGCCTGGGCTTCAATTCCCCATCCTCCAGATCGACGGTCATCGTCATCGCGTCCTCAGCTGCATACTCCATGGCTAAGGTGTGCCCCCAACCTCCCGATGAGAGAGAGAGAGAGAGAGAGAGAGAGAGAGAGAGAGAGAGAGAGAGAGTTCCTGGCCTGCTACTAATCCCGCTTAAAAAGTGCACACAGGAACGATAAACGCGGGAATCAGATGCGTGCGATCGAGAATACCGACGAGGGTGTTTCGAACTACCGCCGCTCCGGTAGAATGATCGGTACGGTACTTCGACGTCTTCTCTCTCGCAAGTACCCGCTAATTTTATAGCAAAAGGGGCAAAGCTCCCGCGCAAAAAAGAGAGGAGGAACAAAGAAGGAGCGCAGAGAACATCAGAGTTTGGGCGAGGCTCCCGCACCAGAGAGGAGCGAAGTTAAGGTAACCGCTTCAGCGCGAGCAAACTCACGCCCCGCAAACACGTAGCAAGCGCCAAGACGCAGCCTTTCTTGGCCTTCCAGCCCCGTCCCACCCACCTGTACTACACCACTCTACTTAACGAAAAGACGACCTTGCCGCCGATCACCTCTCTTCAGAGAGAGGTACACAGACACAGAGAGAGAGAGAGAGAGAGAGAGAGACAGAGAGAGAGAGAGAGAGAGAGAGAGAGAGAGAGAGAGAGAGAGAGAGAGAGAGAGAGAGAGANAGAGAGAGAGAGAGAGAGAGAGAGAGAGAGAGAGAGAGAGAGAGAGAGAGAGAGAGAGAGAGAGAGAGATTCTCTCTGTCTCGGGGATCACCCTCCGCCCAGAGACGGTTGCGAGTTCCTGAGTTGATGACGGAGATGGCTAAGCTGTGGCGGTTCCAGTGAAGTCAACGAGAGGCAATTGGAGCTCGCAAAAGTCAACGAGCCCCACAACATCGCCTCTCCATCGGACTGCAGGAGGAGGAATGTTCTTATACCTCGCGCAGAGAAGAAATAGCACCACAATAGCGCATCTCCACATATGACGAAAGAGAAAAGGGGTAGTTAGGGTACGCTCACATTCGAACGTTTTAGACTGAATCTGACGGCTTTCTAACTCAGATTCATTCAGGAAAGCTCGGGTGTGGCCACAGGTGCAGGCAGCCGGCCCCGAAGCAACAGGCATGAGAGTCTTGAAGGCGGGCAGGCCACATTCCCCGCCAAACGCTGGCTGGAAGATCTGCCTTTCTCCTTTTTTCCCTTTTTTTTTTTTTTTTTGCCCCTTATCTATCGTTCTCCCTCTTTCTCCACCATGAGGAGAACAACGAGGGACGTCCTTCAGCTGGTTCTTTTTTTTCTTTTTTTTTAATCGGGTCCAGTGCCCTTCAGCTGGTTCTCGATCCACTACTACAGTACAGTAGGTAGTCACCAAAATGTGAGAAAAAAGGCGATGTACCAACCGGCCACATTCCCTGGGTCAAGAGGCCTCGCGCCACGACACAGCACATCCTAATGTATCTGTACAGGGAAAATGGGGCTTTGTACATTCAAAAGATTCACTACGTCGCATTTGGAGTGTTGTGCAGTGGCGCGCGAGGCCCGACCAGCGCTGGGTAGAGAGCAGTCTCGACGCCGACGAACAGTAAGGACAACTGCGAATGGTCTCGCTGCTGCGATGCTCAGCAACCGCTAACAAGACGAAACAATTACGAACGTATCTGTCGATCTTCTGCGTCAATATACACTCGCCATTGTACACACATTCGGTGAGTCCTGAAGCGGGGCACAAGTGACAAAACGAACACCTATCTTCTTCGCCGGGCATTGCTACGTCCAACTTGTAGTATATCCTCACAAAGGAAGAACGTGCCAGCATTCCGACTAGGTTCATGCTCGCTTAGCACGAACATAGTACTGGTGGGGCTTGGCCACGATCCTTCATCGGATTTCGGTTCGCCGGTGTGAAAACTCATTCCGTCTCCGCACGGACTTCAGCGGATGTATGCGGCCTGTATTACGTACACAATTCGTGACCGAAAAAGACATTTTCTGTGCATGCCGTCAACTGACGCGGCGAGGCGGCATAGGGAAGCACGATGGGAAAGGTGCCAATGGGACCACTTCGGCTCAAGGACCGACAAGACGAAAGGTCGGCACAATCGGACCCTTTTTGTTTTCCTTTTTTTTTTTGTCTGAAATTTCTGACATAGTCAGACCTTCAACGAATCGGATGTATTTTGTCTGAAATTTCTGACATGCTCAGTCAGAAACACCCCTCTGTGCGCCTGCTCTCGTCGATGAACGCCGTGAAGGTGAGGGGAGAAGCGGGAAGCGGCCAGTCGCACCGTTGCCTGGCGCTGGAAAACCCAGCATGGCTGCCTCCGCCTCGAGGCTGCCGATCGGGCGTGCGGCAACGAGATGTCGCATACCGCTGCTTGTTCTTTTTCGCCCTACTGCTTGTTCTTTTTCGCCCTACTGCTTGTTCTTTTTCGCCCTATAGTTCCGGATATGGAGGAGGACAAACCGCCTGCTGAAGTCCCTATAGGACAAAATTAGCCCTGGCAGCATGCCCGCGGTAGGTGTGCGTCAGCTGGTTTGTGGGTGGGCTAATTTTGGATTTTCTGAACGTCTTTGGGCTATTTCCACCCCTCAACCCTCGAGAGAATACTCCTCGACAATTGCCAAAAAGTTTTTGGGTCATTCGGAAGGTTGGGGAGGTTCGGCCGGCTACGGCGCTGCGGCTGGCGGTCTTCGCTCGGTCCATGCGCCGCTTGCCGTTTCAGGTTCTCTGGCCGGCAAGCCTGTCTGACGGCGGACGTTCTCACCGCGAAAACGTTTCCGCAGGTAATATCTCCTTCCCTTCGTCTTGACGAAGGGCTATGGTGTATTTCCATAGTGACGGTATCAGCAGGCAGTTTTGGTCTCTGGCGATCCTCCCCAGGCCTCCAGTAAGAATTAGCAGTGTAGTTTATCTCTCCTTAAGTTGAGTGACAGTATGGAACCGGAAGGGACCCCTCATCAAGTGCAGGATGCGAGGGCTCATGTTCCTGGCAGCTACCAACTGGAAGATGATAGAGTGAAGGAGCTGATACGCGCATGTTATGAGGAAGGAATCCTTCCTACTAACATCAACTCAGGGGAAATGACGGTGGAAGGTCGAGAAGCCAAGTTTGTTTTAAACTCGGCGGTGGATGAGATTAAAGTGAAATGGTTGAAGTCAAGAATGGTGACAGTCATCTTTCGGGAGGGTGCTCGCTTTCTTCCAAAAAAGGTGAAAGAGGATCTGATTAGGGCGTATGAGGACGTTTGGATTAGGGACGAGACCTTCGGTCAGGAGTTCAGGCGAGGAAGAATTAAAGTTGAGAATCCAAACGTTGTTTCTTATATTCCTCGATCTCAAGTGATCACGGATTGGATGCTGGCCAAACGGTCGGACTTCATTGACCTCGCTAACACAACTTATCGTACGGAGTTTAAGCCATGGATGACGCGTGCTGAAGTGCGGGACTGGCGAAGGACAGTGGACGAGAATACCTTTTGGGTGGTGGCGGTGGGCATTCCGTTGGATGAGATGGCGTTTATTTATATGCATATTGAAAGAGTCATTGGTAAAATCATTAAACACCATCAGCCAGAGTCGGACGAGACAGATCCAAAATTAGTCAACCTGCGGTTTGACCTGGATCCAGCGGCTAAGGCTAATATGAAGGACAAAATTTGGGTCCAAACCCATCAGGGTGATCTTTTGGAAGTTCGGGTGGCGTCGGCAGATTCGGAGTGGCGTAGAAGGTGCCGTACTTTTTTCCATCTGGAGGAGAACTATAGACGGCCTGATCGGCGAAATCGAGGAGATGCGGCTTCAAGACCTCAAGCCTCGTCCGCCCCTGGTACGGGGGTTTCTCCGGCCCCTCAGCAGCAGGACCCTCTCAGGGGTCCAAGCGCTTCGGCCGCTCCAGCTGCACAATCGGCTTCCTCTCAGCAGGCTGTGTCGTCTTCGGCTCCTGCCTCAAACATGCAAGCAGCTGTTCAGCCAGCCCCTCCACCAGGTGCCACGTCTCAGTTCAACCCCGTTTTCTCACCATGCGCTGGTCAATTTCCGCAAGGCGTGATGTCTCCTGCATCTGGTCAGGCTAATCTGTGGGCGACCTTCCTTCAGAACCTGCCGATGCATCCGTACACTTGGCCACAAACCTCTCTGGACCCGCTGTTGAATGCTAGTCCATCTTTCGCCAATCTCTATGCTTATGGTCCATGGGCTCAAGCCTCGGGAGGAGTCAGCGGCCAAGGTGCTCCCAATCTGACAAGTGGCCAAGGTCTCAATTATTCAGGAATGACTCAACCGAGGGCGAATGCTCCGGGCCTAAGTGGCTCTCGTTTACGAGGGGAATCCCGTAGTAAACAGCGCCGTATGAGCGATGGTGGTATCGATATTCAAGTGGACGGGCTTCGATCGGAACACTCGAAAGCTTCTAGTGAAGATTCTTACCACTCGACGGGCTCAGGCGGTCCACATGGTAACTCCTGCTCTTCAAGTAAACGTAAATCCAACCGCTCCCGAATGGAGTCCCTGTCCAAAGGTCATTCAGGGCTGGAAACGAAGTTGATTCCTATAGTATGTGTGTATGCTAGGAACGCTTTCTGGGTAGTTGCTTGGTTGGGATCAGAGGGTTATCCTTGTCTGTTTAGTACGTCTTGCCCAGATTCTCCAATGCCGCATGTCACGGAGTCAATGACCCGCTCACTGTTTCACAACAAGTTTGCTTTGCGCATTATTGTTGAGGTTTCTATGCCCCGATTTTTGGTTGAGGTCTCAGGGAAACGTGCGAAGTTCTTCGCTCCTCTGTTCGATGTGCGGTTTGCAACTGGCCAATTAGAACAGCTGGAAGCTGAAGGACTCCGGCTCATTCCTTTTGCCTGGTTTTTTTAGGCAAGGAAACCGGAGCTCCGCCGATTCCAGGTTTCATCAGCCCTTTCAGCGGAGTTCTTGTACGAGTTGAATTCAAAGTTATTGAGGGAGAAGAAACTGGATTCAGCGTTCATCAAGCAGGCTCTTACAGATCCCTGGCCGGGGATTCAAGTCACGATACACCAAGTCTCCCAGATCCAATAGCAAGGGACGGTGATGGTAGATGGGCAAACTTAATATTGCAACGTGGAATGTTCGGGGTTTGGGAGATACGGCGGGAAGGAACAAGCGAGGTAGATTGAAAAGTTGGATTCATGATAAGGAACTTGATATCGCCTGTATACAGGAGACTAAATTATCAGAGGAAAAGATCGGGGAACTTGGGAACTGGTGGGACGGGCCCCAAATTTGGTTCCCTGCCATAGGGTCTAGAGGAGGAGTTGCAATCCTTTTACATAGATCTTCCAATTTTGAGATTATCGATTTTTATGCCGATCTCTGGGGTAGATGGGCATGGGTGAAGGTCTATGTTGAGGATCAGGTATGGGTGGTTGCTACAGTGTATGCACCGGTTGATAGCTCTGCTCGTAAAAGCTTCTTTTATGATTTGCCCTCCTTGATCCCGAGCTGTAGTAATTTGGTAATTGTTGGGGATTGGAATACATCCCTTGACAATCAAGAAGGGGTGAGAGGTCACGCTGATGTGAAGGTACTGCTGGAAACAATTTCTGATATGGATCTGGTTGAGCCCTTTCGCTTAATGTATCCGGATTCCCCTGGATGCACCTGGTTCTCAAATGCGCGTGAGGATATCGAGGTTATACACAGAAGATTAGACTTCTTCTTGATTTCTCCCGATACTTGGAATGGTACAGTTAGAGTCGAGGAGTCTTTTCACCCGATGTCGGATCACAAGCTGGTGATGGCCACGTTCAACTCGAAGAAGTTAAATAGAGGCCGAGGCTATTTTAGAGTGAACACTCAGATCTTAGAGGAACCTGGAATAGTGGAATGAATGGTACGTTTTTGGAAAGAGTGGGAGGGGAATGCAGATTCTTTTTCGTCCAAAGCGGAGTGGTGGGATGCAGGTTCCCGCATCCTATCCAAGCACCTCGGTGTTTACTCTCGGATTTTGGCAACCGCTCAAAAAAAGCGGGAGGTAGCCTTGATCAGAAAAATCCAATATGTCGAGTACCGGATGAACTCCCACCCAATCTCTAACTTGGTGTAGGGCCCTATCAGAACCAGCCTTATGGCTGAGTGGGATGCTCTTCAAGTAGCTCAGTCAGACGTGTGGGCAGAACGGCTTAAAGTACGAGGTATAGTGGTGTACGACAGGATGGCGAGAGAATCATTTCAACGTCTCTCGCCTAAAAGACTTTCGCTGCCAATGATTGTATTAACCCACCCCTTTGACCGTTCTCTTCCACAAGCACGGGATCAAGTCCAACTGTGTGAATATGCCTCGATCTATTATCAAGATATCCTCACTACGCGACGTCCCGGGGAGGTCATTACCACGGATTTATCAGAAGGGTCTTCTCACTGGGAAGCGTACACTGTTAGACTTCCCCTACATGGTAGATTAGACCTAGATCGCCCTGTTACTTCAGAGGAAGCCCTCTCAGCCCTTCAGTCCATAGCTAAGGGAAAGGCTTCGGGGGACGATGGACTCCCGATTGAGCTTTATTTCGTAATTTGGGACTCGGTGAAGGACGCCCTAGTGGAGATTTATAACAGTGTTTTAACAGGTGGTCAATTATCGAAAGGGATGCGGAACGGTATCATTTCCCTTCTGTATAAAAAGGGCGATAAGTCGGAGATCTGGAATTGGCGCCCGATCTCTGTTTTAAATGTTTCATACAAACTTTTGGCGAAGATTCTCACCCGACGGATGGGAAGATACCTACCTGACTTGGTGGGTTCTGATCAAGCGGCTTTCGTACAAAATCGCTCAATCTTTGACAATATTGTCACTGCAATCGAAGCTCTGGAGCTGGTTCAATCTAAAGCCCTGGATATTTCAATCTTCATGTTAGATCTAGAAAAAGCGTACGACAGGGTTAATTGGACGTATGTCTTAACAACCCTGCGTCACCTGGGCTTTGGGGACAACCTGCAGAAGTGGGTAGTAGTGTTGTACTCCCTTTCAACCGCTGCTGTAATGGTGAACGGTAATATTTCACAGCCGTTTGACCTCTCTCGTTCTCTCCGCCAGGGATGTCCACTGGCCCCATTGCTGTTTGTGCTCCAAATGGAGAACCTACTCTGTAATATTAAGGCTCAATCGGAGATAATCGGTCTGCAAGCTGGCTCCTCTCAATGCAGGGCCATGGCCTTGGCTGATGATTTATTTGCTGTATCCGCTAACTCCCCTCGTTCCCTGCATGCGTTGAAGGCTTATCTAGATGAGTACTTTGATCTTTCTGAAGCCTCGGTAAATTGGTATAAATCTGTTTTCTTCCTGCCTAGCCAGTTCACTCCAGCTTGTAATTGGGGCATGAAACATATCTTGCCTGACGCTTCGGAAAGATTTCTTGGGATCCAAGTTTCACTATTATCTTGTGCAGTTGATCGGGAGGGAATTCTGCTGCAGAAAGTGCTCCAAAGAGTTTCTCTTTGGGGAAAAGCCCCACATTTGTCTATCTATGGACGAGCCATGGTTGTTAACGGTGCTCTCTTGGCCCTGCTGTGGTATGTGGCTGCAGTAAGGCCATTGGGCAAACACCTTTGCTCTCTGGTCAAACAAAGAGCGGCCAAATTTATTTGGAAACCGTTTGCCTCTGATCAGGAGGCCTTTATGTCCAAAGTTGCATGGGATCCCCTTACTTTTGCTAAATTTGAGGGAGGGTTGGGCCTGTGTGACCCTCAACGTAAAAGTGCTGCTATGTTAGTCCGTTGGTTTATCAAAGCAATAAGCTCTCCGCAGACGTCCCATTGGATTGCTCTCGCTGAGACAATCCTGTCACATGAATGGAATCTGACCCGCCCTTCGGATGTGTGGACATGTTTCCTGTTGCCCTCATTTCATAACAGGAATATTAAATCAGATTTCTGGAGGGCGGTAATGCATGCCTGGAAATCTTTAAAATCGGATTCTTGGCTTCATCCGGTTACAAAGACGGAGGTTTTGCTGCAGCCCATTTTTTAGAACCCCCACATTAGGAAAGCGGATGGTTTGTGGTTTGGGGTAGACTCATGACGTAATAGTTTTTGGATAAGCTAAAATGAACAAGGGGTTCTCAAAATCACGGATCTATGGAACGAATTGGAGGGTCAATGGCTTTCCCCTGCAGCCTTGCGAGAATTTGTGGGGGCTTGCTGGTATGTGGAAGAGCGGTTTGTTGAGATTGTGGAGGCTATTCCTGCAACATGGAAATTTTTACTAAGCCCTGAGGGCATTAACCCGCAAGGAACCTGGTATATCTCAAAGAACCTGGAGCCGTCTCCCGTCTTCTGGAAATTTCAAAAAGTAGAGGAGGATGGCAAGAGGGAATTTCAGGGTTGGACAGGGGTCAATGAAGAAACCCCCTCCACCTTAATCGAGCTTGATCCCCAGACTCAACCTCCGCTGGGAGCTCAGCTATCCCAGGTTAGGGTCTGGGAATCTTGTGATGATGATGGTAATTGGACGTGTAGGGTCCACGCCCAGGGCAAGCCATTGGATCGGTTGATTTGGATCCTAAGATATGTGGATGGAGAGGGAAAGGGCAAGGAGGAGAGGACATGTCATTAATATCTTACACTGTGGATTTCGGCTACAGTTCTCAGACTCCAAACAGAACTCCTATTATAGTGGTCGTTGGGTGTTGGAAACAAGTCTTGGAGATTCCACCTGATGTGATTGAACATCGTTTGTTACGTTGTTGGGAACAGTTGGCGGAAACCCCTTGTCCAAGATTAGCGGCTAATTTGTGGTTACTTTCTCTCTTGGCCACTCCTTCAGTTGTTAACTTGGCACAAAGGGGTATGCGTGTGGATTTGAAGTGTAAGAGGTGAATTGGGCATTTGAGTTTACCCCACATCTTTGGTATGATTGCCCAGCTTCGAAGCGTATCTGGGATTGGTGGGCGGAACAATGGCGGCAACTTATGGGATTGAGTTTTAACTGGGACAGAGAGTGGGCACTGCTGGGTGGTATTCCCGACTCGTTGGACACCAATAAAGGCACAGGATATCTGGTACAGGCTGCAAGGTCAGTTTGCGCTGCAGTAATTTGGAAGGGTAGGAATCTGCAGGTGTTTGAAGGAAGGGAAATAACAAACACAGAAGTGAAGCTAATGTCGTGTTCTTCTCTGCGGCGGCTGCTCCTGGCGGACGGGAAAAGGAGATCTGGGGCGAATTGGTCTATTTGGTTCGAAGTTACATGGGGTCTAGGGGGCAAGCTAGCTAGTTATGAAAACGGGAAGCTGTCCTTGAACAGCTGGTTTTGGAGAGAATAGGACTAGCTGTTCACGGGACCTGAACCTGTACACTCGGTTCTTGCATCCGCGGGAGGAAGGCAGAAGGGTGTGCTTGAGGAGGGAGTGTTGTTGATTCCGGTCCAACTCGGTCCGGTACTGCCGTGTTAGGCAGTATACTTCTTAGGGGGTAGATTTTCTGGTAGGCTTTTAGTGGTTGAGGTATACTCATTTTTTTGGTTTGTGCGTTTTTTCGGGGCTTGTTGCTGGGTTACTTCTTTGTTCCTTTTTTTATAGGGTTCGATTCTTCAAGGCAGGGGCCTAGGTCTGGCCAATTCTGTTCTTAGATATTTTTCGACCCTGTGTGGAGTAATGAGGGATTAATATTGGAGCAAGTGTTGCTCGCGGGCAACGCCTGTAAGCTAAGTTGGCTGATGCTGCCAGACATTCTGGGTTGAATTG